TCACAATGACATAGTTGGCGACGCACCTCCTCACACCCTCTGCGCCCAAGCCACCCCAACTTTTAAATCTTAAATAGGGACCCCCCATGTGTGATACGTCGTTGGAAAGCTCTGAAAAAATGCTTTCCAACCATACCAAATAGCATTACATTTAGGTTAGTAATTATCGTACAAATCAAAAAATAAACATGGAAAATCGCATTTAACTTGGACTTCCAAAGCCGACTCGACAGCAACTCATTTTTGATCGCCAGTTATAATCTATTCTCAAACTCTTGTCGAACCTTTCCTATGTTGCTTTTGCAATATTTCGACATTCTTGAATTATTCTCTCTCTTAGTTCGTCTAATGTTCGCCGGTTGCGTTTTAAATACGACAGATTTCAAATGTATCATATTAGTTTATTTTTTGATTTGCACGATAATTACTAACCTAAATGTAATGCTATTTGGTATGGTTGGAAAGTATTTTTTCAGAGCTTTCCAACGACGTATCACACATGGGGGGTCACTATTTAAGATTTAAAAGTTGGGGTGGCTGGGGCGCAGGGGGTTGGAGGGGGTGCGTCGCCAACTATGTCATTGTGATTCCCCCTGCGAATTACCGAAACGGATTTTGATTTTTTTAAATATCTCGTTTATTTACTAAGATATGGGGGGTGGTAAGTTTTCAAATTGTCACCCTGTATATTTATACTGCTACTTTTTCACGTAAACAGGCTGACTGCCCGGCAAATTAAGCGTAAAGAAATGTATACGCTCTCAAATCGTCCCGACCAAAAAACCCCGTCTTTTCGTTGTCTTTGGTATTTAATGAAACACCACTTCCACCATAAAATAATAATAAATAATAAAATAATAATTCAATAACGCCAGCTTCGACAGGATGCGTCTCAACTTACGCCGAAATAACGCGCGCATCTGCATCTCTTATCTAATTATCAGTCATAAAACACGCGCGTTAACTACATCGCTTGATAAAAAAACACTTCTTATCACAAACGACCACATTATATTACTTCAACACCGTATCTAAATTGAACAATTTACAAAACCGATAAAATTTAAAAAAAATTACGCATCTACACAAATTTCTAAAAAGAAAAAGAAATACTGAAATACAAATTCAAACCAATACTTAAAATTTGAAATTATTTCAAGTACAGGGTGGCCCAACATTATTAATGGCGCTGAGGCCAAAATAACGTCTACACGACACACAATACTTTACTGTCGATATCCATTTCTTCAAGAAACTCTAATAGTTCACCCTCATTTCATTTATGGCATGGCGTGGCGACTGAATATATCAACAAGTGATATTTCCATTAAAATATACTACTTTGCCACTAACGTAAATCTGTTATTCTTGTTAATATCTCGTTCTTCTTGCGTTTAAAAGAAATTTATTACATAAAGATGCGAAATTTTCCCTTTTATTTATATACCTACTCGTAGACAAGACATTATAAAATGATAAAGGTGCATTTATTTCTTTTGTTATAGAATCTTCTGATCTGTGTTTAATGTAAATGGATGTAGATTTTGTTTACGTGTAACCAAGTGTTTTGTTTTTGTCTTGACGCCCCGTTACACTCCATGACGATGAGTTTCTATCACAGTTTTGAAGTTCGACTTACATCGTTTTTTTTTGGATTAACAAGATAACATCTAAATTCAACCAAAAGAAATCCGCATAACGTCAAGACAATGCAAATGTCTGAAAAGTGACGTTTTTTGTTGTCGTCTATGCTGTTGTATTAAGATTAAATTTGTGTTTACGAACTGTTACAAAAGCAAATGTTACAAAAGCGAAAAGCGGACTAATTAATCTTTTAGTGATAAAATAATAAAAAAAAATGACTTACCCCCAAATATTTTGTCTCTATGATCTTTACACAAATTAAAGGATCGGAAAGAAAGGATTTGTGTGAAATTGACGTATACAAGTATCACAATAATTAATACAAAATGAAATTGAACTTGATGCAGTTGGCGTGTGTAGCGTTGAACGAATATTCGGCAAGTGAGTTTTAAAACTGCACTCTGCGCTGCACCTAGAGATAATAAAATAGGCAAAGCGATAAAATAAATTTTAAATTTTATATTTAACATACTACCCCCCTAATTTTGAAAAAAAATTAACAATATTTTGCAAAATGAGAAAAAATAAAAATTATTACAATTAAATTATTATTGGCGATATTTACACCCCTGGCAAAGGGCAAAGTTTTACCAGAGGACGCGTGTATACTCCCTGGTTAGTTCGAATTTCGGCAATGCGGGCAATACCGTCAGAACCTAAAAAAAGTTTGTTCACTCTCGCTAGTTTCCAATGCATAGGCGGTAAATTTTTTTCTTTTACTAAAACCAGGGTGCCTATGTTGATAGGGTTTTCTTTATCAATCCATTTTGTTTTTTGATGCAGAGTATGTAAATATTCCAAACTCCAACGCGACCAAAAATCATGGTGTAAGCGTAATAGTAACTGATAGCGATCTAAACGGTTTAACTTTAAATGTGACATGTCGGGATCTGGAATAGTTGTTAATGGTTCGAGAGACAAAAAATGTCCCGGCGTCAAAACAGCAAAATCATTTGGATCGGAACTCATTGCGCAAAGTGGCCTCGAGTTTAATAAACCTTCAATTTGTATTAAGACCGTGTTCAGTTCCTCATATGTTAACAATTGCGAGCCTATAACTCTGGAGAGATGTGTTTTTACCGATTTAATCCCGGCTTCAAATAAACCTCCAAAATGAGGAGCGTAGGGAGGGTTGAAAATCCATTTAATTTGTTCTTTTTCAGAAGCGTTTTTCATTATATTTATAAGATATTTATTAGCGCCGACAAAATTAGTGCCATTGTCGGTAATTATTTGTGAACATCTACCACGACGTGATATAAATCGGCGCAAGGCACAAAGAAAATTTTCTGAAGATAAATCTGTTACTAATTCAATATGAATCGCTTTAGTGGCGAAACAAACAAAGACGCAAATGTACGCTTTAACTTTCTTAGCACCGCGGGTTTTTCCAATAGTAACAAAATATGGCCCCCCAAAATCTATTCCGACGACGGAGAACGGTTTTGCGCGAGTTATGCGATCTGCTGGCAAATCTCCCATCGGTGGTTGAGCTGAAGATGGATTCAAGCGCCAGCATTTTAAGCACTTTAATAATACGTTACGTATACATCTACGAGGCGATAATATCCAAAAATTTTGTGACAACAAAAAATGTAATGTCTGTAAGCCCGGATGGCAATTTTTTATATGCGCATCCAAAATAATTAGATCCGTTAAACGACTTAAACGAGGTAATATTATTGGAAATTTTTTGTCGTAATTTAACAATGAGTTTTTTAGGCGACCTCCTACTCTTAAAATTGAGTTTTCATCTAAAAAGGCACTTAGTTTTCTTAATTGTTTGGAAGGTAATTTATTATTTAGAAGTTTATGGATATCTTCTGAAAATGATAAAGACTGTTGGCGTTTGATAAGTACTAACAAAGCGGAATGTAGATCAAAATTATTAAAATGAGCAGTTTGTTTATTACGCGAAAACTTTGTATTGAAAATGAATCTTTGAACGTAAGCTATAATTCTAAGAATTTTATCTAAAGCTGAAAATTTCTCAATAAGATTATCAAAAGCGTTAATGTTTTTGAAAACTGAAAACACTGTTCTACGTTGCTCCTTACTTATATCGGTAGTACAAGGTAATGGTGTTTTATCAATAGGCCATTCGGCTAACGGCAATAACAAGAATTTAGGTCCACAGACCCATTCTTTACAATTCATAAAATCTGCAGGCAACAAGCCTCGCGATGCACAATCAGCTGCATTAAATTCGGAAGGCACGTGATACCAATGTGCGTTCGCCAAGCTTTCTTGTATTAACGAAATGCGGTTCGATACAAAAGGTTTCCATCTATGCGGAGGTGAATTCAACCAATGCAAAACCGTTGTTGAATCAGTGAAAGCAAAAATATTTTCAAAAATTACTTTTTTATCAAAAGCGTTTAAAACAAAATTTGTTAATCTCGTGAGTAGTAAAGCTGAACACAATTCAATTCTTGGAATAGATAAAGGTTTAAGCGACGTTACCTTTGATTTTGCACAAAGCAGGTAACTTTTTATGTGATCAAAATAAACCACTCGTATGTAAAGACAAGCAGCGTAGGCCTTTTGTGAACCATCACAGAAGCCACACAAATCAAAATGATCAGCATCCTTTGAATATATGAAACGTGGAACCTGAAACGACGATAAACTACTTAACTGATTTTTATAATTATCCCATTGATTGAGAATATTTTTTGGCGGCAGGTCATCCCATTCCAGTTTTAATTTCCACAGTGTTTGTATTAACAGCTTGGCGATCAAAGTTACGGGTGTTAAAAGACCCAACGGGTCATAAATTCTAGCGAGATCTGATAAGACATTTCTTTTGGAGCACACGTTATGAACCGGAGTAACGGAAAAGAAAAACGTATCGGATGGTGGATTCCACCTTAAACCCAAGATTTTAATAGCGGTATCATGTTCAAAACCATACGTAAATGATTGATCTTGATGATCTTTAGGTAAATGATGTAGAAATTCATTACTATTGCTTGCCCATTTTCTGAGCTCAAATCCTCCACGACGAAGCAAAGAGATTAATTCCGATTTCAACTTTAAAGCTTGTTCCAAACTATCACATCCCGTAACTACATCATCCACGTATATATCTGAAGATAAAATTTTGGAAGCTAATTTAAAATTATTTCCTTCATCGTGCACTAGTTGCCTGATAGTTTTGAGTGCGAGATAAGGTGAAGAACTAACCCCAAAAGTTACAGTTTTTAGAATGTACTCGCGAAGAATTTCTTCTGGGGAGAAGCGCCAAAAAATGCGTTGATAATTATTTGCGTGAGTGGGATTTAATAATATTTGGAGGTACATACTTTTAATGTCTGCCGTAATTGCTACAACATGTAATCTAAAATTTAGAAGAATTATTTGGAAATATCTTTTTGAAGTTTCGATCCTATTAAAAGCGTATCATTAAGCGAAATGTTGTTTGAATCTTTTGTTGAGGCGTCAAAGACTACTCTGATTTTAGTAGTAGTTGATTGAGGTTTTAAAACACAATGATGTGGAAGAAAGAATGCGTTATCATTTTTAGTAGCGGCTAATTCCATAAAATTATTATTTAAATAATCGCGCATAAAATTGCAGTATTGCTTTTTAAGTTCAATATTGTTCATAAGACGTTTTTCTAGAGAAAAAAATCGTCTCAAAGCCGGTATTTTTGAATTTACAAATGTAGGTTCGCACGGATAATGCTTAAACGGTAATGAGACGACATATCGTCCGGATTCTGAACGGTAAGTAAGTTTATGATAAATGTTTTCACATTTTTCTTCTTCTGAACTAAGCGGGTTTCCAAAATTAATATCTTCTAATTCAAAAAATCTTTTGATCATCGTTTCTGAAGGTGTATTTTCAAAAACACAGAAAGTTTGCGCATATTGTAAGGGTTGTACCACCGGAGCTGTACCTACTAGAATATACCCAAGACTGGTTTCCAGAGCTGTACATCCCGACTCGGAAATCTTATTGCTACCAATAATTTGGCCAAATATTTCTGATCCGATGATACCGTCGATTTCTCTTGGAATATAAAATTGTTCGTCAGCGAGAGGTAAATCGGTTAAAAACGGCATAGCGTCATGATCAATAGTACAAGATGGAAGCGAATTAGTAATGTTTTCAACAACTAGCACTTCGGCGTGAAAACTGACATTTTTAGTAAAATGTGGGAAAAATAATATTTGGGTGCGACCCAATACCTTTAGTGCATTAGAACCGACTCCTTTTAAAGAAAAACACACCTTAGTTGCATGCAATCCCAAGCGTTTACAGCATTTGGCAGTTAACAAATTAGACTGACTACCACTATCAATTAATACGCGAATGCTGTGAAAATTATTAAATTTGTCTTTAACATTGACAATGGCGGTTGATAAAACTACTGAAGTATTTTGAGCGACTTTTGGCTGCGGTAAAATTGAACACAAACTTAAAACTTCCGCAGATGGCTGTTCTTCGTTGGTGATGGTTGAACTCGAAATATGAGCGGTTTCTAGAGGTTTTCTATCAGATGGTGGCGATTGAGTATTAAAATTATTATCGTGCAACAAAGAATGATGCTTACGATTGCAATATTTGCAAGAAGAAGTAGACTTACAATATTTAAATGGATGGTTACTCAAACAATTGACACAAAGTTTATTCTGTTTACACAGATAGTACCTTTCTTTAGGCGTCTTATTTTGAAAGACCGGACATCTATATATTAAATGTTCTTCAGTTTTGCAAAAAAAGCAGGGGCGTTTGTTGGTAACTGTATTATAACAAAAGGTTGTTTTATTAGGACGACTTTGGAAATTGTTAACATTAGAGTCATTAACCGATTTGACTTTATTAGTGCGAGTAGAAACAGTTATAGATTCGTAAGCTACGCATTGTTTTTTCAAAAAATTCATAAGCTCGTTAAAAGAGGGCATTTCTGTAGAACCGTGTTGCGTTTCAAAGCGCGTTACTAAATTTATGTCCAATCTTTTAAACAACATTTGTGCTAAGATAAAAGACCACTGGTCTACTGGATAGCCCATATTTTGAAGCGCGGCGAGATTTTCATTAAAAGTATCAATTAATTTTCTTAATGCGGACGGGGTCTCTCCGTTTAAACGCGGTGCCCCTTCTATTTCATTCCAATGAGCGGTAGACAAAATTCTTTTATTGGAAAACCTAGTTCTTAAAGCGTTATATGCCACAGTATAATTAGAAGACGTTAACGGATAACATTGCATTAAACTCTTTGCTGTTCCTTCTAATACTGATAAGAGATGTGAAAATTTTTCGATACTAGATAAGCGAGCGTTATTGTGGATTAAAGCGTCAAACACATCTATAAAAGTATTAAAGTTTTTAATATCGCCGGAGAACGTGATTAATTTGAGTTCTGGCAATTTTACTCGTGGAGCACTGCCAGTGTGTTCAGACTCGAGGATGTTACTGCGCGGTTGATTTCCAAAAATTTGGTGATAAGTGCTTTTAATTGAATAATAAGAGACTTCAAAATTTTTCCTTATAGCATCCTCTACTTCGAACACCTCGTCGGCGTCTGAATACAAACTGAATAGGTTGTTATGCAATTTTTGAAAATTGTCGTAGATAATTTGGATATTTTCGTAGCGTTGCATAAAATTTTCATGACACGTTGTATTAACAAGAGAATTGTTTGCTACCTCTAATAATTCATTCATACGATTTATTTCGATACTTCGTAAAAGTTTGGTCTTTTTAATTTTTTCGACATTCGACATTTTAAAATTATATGTTTAAAGCAATTGGCAAGAGTGAACAAACCGAATGAAATTATACAGTTAAATTGCGCGCGTCCCAACTCGAACGAAACGAAAGTATAACCTTGTGCGATTTCCAACTTGAAATTGATAAAAACACACGTTGAAAATTCCCAATTTACAAAAAATTGTCAATTCAAAAGCTAAGTAAATAATATCCGGCTCGAAGGACCAAATGTTACAAAAGCAAATGTTACAAAAGCGAAAAGCGGACTAATTAATCTTTTAGTGATAAAATAATAAAAAAAAATGACTTACCCCCAAATATTTTGTCTCTATGATCTTTACACAAATTAAAGGATCGGAAAGAAAGGATTTGTGTGAAATTGACGTATACAAGTATCACAATAATTAATACAAAATGAAATTGAACTTGATGCAGTTGGCGTGTGTAGCGTTGAACGAATATTCGGCAAGTGAGTTTTAAAACTGCACTCTGCGCTGCACCTAGAGATAATAAAATAGGCAAAGCGATAAAATAAATTTTAAATTTTATATTTAACA